TGTAACAGATCTGAGTGGCTGAGGAAAACCCAAAAAAGATAAAGAACTGAAAGAGAACCTGCTCATGCTGCTCATCTAGAAAAGCCAAAGCCGAATCAAACACAGAAATTAGGGGGAAGAAAAATATAGAGTAAAAGTCTCCTGAAACTAGATCTCACCAAAATTTCTTTCACTTCAGAATGAAGAAATATTTACAAGGAGTCATGATGACGGGAACCCTGAGTTGGAGCACCTTGACAGAGAAGACCTTTCCCCTCGAAAGTAAGTCAGCAGATCTGGGGGCCGGCTTCTCTTATAGATCTATGGGGGTGGGAATCCTCTGTTTTAAATCTCATCCCTTATCTTTCCCAGAGAAAGTCACAGCATTTACTATGTACTTGAGAACAAAAATCATGCATCTCATAAAAGCAACAAGAGAATTGAAAACATCTTACAAACGAAACTTCCAAGGGTACACTGTTTCAAAAATGGAGTATTAAGTGAATATGACATGTAAACTAATGTTGATATTGACTGAATTATTGACTTTAACCCTTTTAAAAGCTCTTCATTCTCAAAGGACACAATTTATACAAATCCAATGCTATTTTTTGGTCTTCAAGAAGGTGTTTGCACACATGTGAAAGCAGCTTAGCCTAAATTAGGGAGGTAAAAACCAGAAGCATAAGGGGAATTTATTAAAAAAATAAAAACCTTCTTACTCAGAATCCCCATCATAACCCCTGTTCTGGCAGTAGTCACATCTTTCTACCCATGTCATTTGACTCATGAGCTGCTTCTGTCCCTGGGGTCTATCGTAGTGATTGGCTTGACAGGCCTATAAAAAATGCCTATGAAATGAATGAGCAAATATCTTTAAGAACTTGCCCCTTGACTAAAGCCATTTATTATTTTCATTCATTCACTTTAAGATATACTCAAAGAAACAGATGTGGGTTTATTTATTAAATATATCCTTGAGTTACAGTGAATGGCCCAATTCAGCATTTCTGAAAGTATTTAGTAGAGTGGTCTCTGAAAAGCACCATTTGACAGTGATGTGTTCTGTTGTTTTCCATTTGTGAGTTTATCTTTTGGGGCTTTTCTATTACCAAAACCCATACCTTCTTTATAATTCTAAAAGTCTAAATGTGTTCTATAAGTTAGTTGATTACTGTATTATTTTACAGTAGATCACTAAATCATACTACTATTGACAAAGGAAAAATTTACAGCATGTAACTAATGAAACAAAAATGTTCTTGCAAAAAACTTTGAAAAAGTGAAAACTTAATCCATCAATAAATCAGGAGACAGGAGAATCTATGAGATTAGCTTTTGTTCTACCATCCTAAATACCTTAAGATCACCAGTCTTTGGTATAACAGTTTAATGTGTATTTCTTATTTATCCCTAATTTTGGACTTGAGTTTTGATATATAACTAATATGAATTTGTTGGCACTACAGTTGATATTACAGTAGCTTGACGTAGAGAAGCATTTAGACATTTTTGGATAAAGTATAAACTTTTAATTAGTATAGTAAAATTTTATACCAGATAGTGCCCATTAAAAGTTCTGAATAATTAATCTCTTCACAGTTTGATGGCTTGTAGAATAACATTGCCTTATTTTATTTGGAGAAAGGTGATTTTTGAACACTATGTGCTAGGATATGCTGAGTTCCCACCTTCAGAACTTATATTATAGCTAGGAGAAAACATATGGAACAATTAGTAGATAATATAATAATATATGTGATGAAGTATAAATTTGAGGAGGGTAGGAGATGTTTGAAGAAGTGAAGGTGGGGTTGGATTTCCAAGATATCAACCAGTGCAGAAGAAATGGTGTTCCTGGCAAAAAAAAAAAAAAAAAAAGCCAACATAGACAGGGCACAATGAGATTTATGATGCATAAAGGTGGCAGTGGGAAAAATCAAGCCCCAGAGGATGAAGGAAAGGAAGGTCACAGAGGGCCTCAAAAACCAGATAGAAGAATTTGCATAAGATGCTGGAGGCAGTATGGAGGCTTACAAAGGAATACTATGAGGCTAGCTGTGATGAAACCTTGTCCTGCTGCAGAATGAAGAACCTACTGGGTCAGGCAAACATGGACCATTCCTCTGTTAGAACAGAATGGATAACCCTGCATCCAGAGTTCTCTGGTCCCATTCTCATTGCAGCTTTGGTGTCCAAGTAGTCTCCAAATGTAGGGCAAGTTAATTTAACTCTTCTAAGTAATCAATATTCACTTTAGTCCTGTCCACAAATATCCTAACCATTCCTTGCATGTTCTACTACAACTGAGTAATTCAGATGCTTCCAAGTTTTAGAAAATACATAGACTGGATTATCTTTTATACACACTAAGAATTGAACAGCAACCAGGTGAAAGACAGATGAGTGCATCCTATATGCAAATACACCAAAGCACCAAACACTCCAGCTTAGGCACAAGCATTCCTAATGGTAAGAGATGACGGCAGACTTCAGATCTACTTTCCAGCAGCTAATGAAAAGTATCACATAAAAGGAAAATATAACCTTTTCAAATGGTTTTTAAGGCACTATGGCTGAAAGTTATTATGTCATCCCTTCCTGAAAAAAATTATTAGAAAAGGACATTCCCCTACCTGGACATTACAGCCTGTCCTTTAACGAAGCCATGCTAGGTGGTTCCATAAACCAGAGGACTCCTGGGTACAACAGCAAGCCTGAATGGGAAGAGGACTAAGATGGCACAGTCATGCCTCTCTGCCATGAAACAGGAGCTGATCATATAAACAAATGGTGTCCACACCAGAGTCTAAACACACACCTGCTGACAATTTTTAAGTTGTTTATTGGAAATCTTAGGGGTTTTTTTTAAACCCACTAAGTATTTTGCTGTACAAGAGCAAAACTCATAATATAAATATTAACATTTTGGTATAAAATTATTAATATGGAAAAAAGATGCAAACCAGTAAGAGGTAAAAAGTTTTTAACAGTAACACTGTGTACAAACATCTTTTACTCAAGTGACCATCCACGCTAATAGTTTATTTTCCCTTTGTTGACATTTAAAAAAAAAAAAAAAACCTGCATTGGAGCACCATGAAGTTTTTGTTTTTGTTTTTGTTTTCCCTTCCTTTTTAAAAGGTTAAAACACTTCTATTTACAAATATTCTCCTCAGTACTTGAAGTCTGATGAAGGAATCATCAGGCAGCTTCCTTCTTCTAAAACAAAGAAAGTACCTTCATATTTCCTTAAAATTTAAACCTGTTCCATTCTATTCTAAGCAAAAAAAAAAAAAAAAGATGAACACAGTTCCAGAGAGCTCTTTCAACAAATAAATAACCGTTTCACAAAAGTGTTGCTGTAAACAAGATCACTTCGATGGCCAGAGAGATGCTGAGGTTTTCAACAAATGGCAAATTTTAATAGTTCCTAGAATAGAGAGACACAGGGTATATATGGCCCAAAGGCAAACAGTCATTAAGGAATCAACTAATAAAAATTACTCATAAACTTGTTTTGTCAAAATGTGCTTTTTTTCTCTACCATTTTTAAAATTGGTCAGAAATTTGAAACTGTAATGATCTAAGATTCTGAGTCTATTCTAAATACAGTAACTACAACCTACAATGTTTGACACTAGTGTAATTACCTAAGCAATGTAAACAAGCCTCAAATTTTCAAAATAGGAGAAAAAATTAACAAAAAATTCCTGTAAACATTAAAAATCTACCTGCTACAAATTATAAATATCATCATCCAGTTGTGTATACTGAGAAATCTTTTAGTTTTGTTTTGCATGTTTCAGAAATCATCTTATCCCATGAGACATCTGAGTTGTCCCCGTCAGGTTTCTCTGCAGCTAAAGGTTTTATAATCAGTTCAACTATTTTTGCTGAAATCACTATTTTGGCCTTCATATAATCTCCCTGGTAATGCACATAACCTAATTCTGTAGTGAGGGGAGGTTGTTTGCATCATGGCCACAATTTTATCCTGCTTTGTAAAATATATGTAACTTACTTTACCACATCTCTGATCACAAAGGAACCTGGAGCTTTACAAACACTTTCAATCTCATCTGGCAACTCTCTATTATCACTTTTACTCTGCTTTCAAGTTTAAAATATTTTAAAAATAAAGCTCATTTCTAATAGTTATTTGATCAAATAGATTGTTTTAGATACGAAAGCTTTGATTTGACATTTAATACTCGCAATTTAAAATTGACTCTGAACTTGGAACAAAATAGTGTGGTTTCTGAGACCTTGCTGGGAAGAGGTGGGTTATATTTAATAATCAGTACAAGAAATTACAAACTAAGGTTTATTTTATAAATCAGAGAGGAAGGAGGCTTTTGGTTTTGCAGTGCTGGGGATCAAACCCAGGGCTACACGCAAGCTACAAGAGCTCTTCTACTGAGCTCCACCCCAGCCCTATTTTTCTTTTTGAAGTCTCCTCCAGTAATATATTCACCTATGCAAAAAAACATTTAAATAACTACCTTAAACAATATTGAATATTTAAAAAACAGTTGAAAAATTCATTAAATCAGCTTATTGGAACTGACGATCATTTCTCCCTAAATTAGCACCCTATGATCAAACATGAGAATGCCCATGTTTTGTGCCATTCTCTAATATTAGGGGGAAAGGAAAAAGAAATGAAGTACCAGTTAGGGCAGAGCCAATGATTTTGATTCTCAAAGTTCACATTAAACTTTGAGAAAAAGATATTTAAAATGATGCCAACAGTATCTAGGCAAATAGCTACATGGATATTACCATTAGGTGATTCAGCTGTTTTTAACGAAACAGTAGAGATCATCCTACATCTTTTAAGAACAAGAGACTCTTTTGCCAGATTCATGTACTTTCTCCCATTCCAACCCTTCCCTGCCCCACTGCCTCTGCCAAGTGGTGGAGCAGGGAACAGAAATAAACTAGAATACCCGGTCTAACGATATATTAATGTCTCTAAAAAGTTGTTTTTCTAATACCAAGGTTCACAACTCACACTTCCAATATACATGTGGCATTAAATGAGAGGTGAATTTCTCATTCGTTTTGTTTCTATTCATGATATAACCCTTTTGTAAATATGAACTCCTTTAAATGAATTTAGGCCATGAAGCAGATAATTGATACTGATTGGCTTCTATAATCAAAGAAACATTCTGATAGACTGGGCTTTCAAAATATTTCTTTTGACTTTCATATTCATTTACTCCGCATTCAGACAAACATTTAATGGGTTTTCCATCCAGGTTTGGCTCAGTGACAGTAAAAACATTCAAGTGCTATTAGAGAAAAGCAGCCCTACAAGGATACGTGTCTGTATAGGTCAATTTGCAAAGGAGAAGAATCTTAATTAGCCTGCAGTATAATTGACCAAAAAACCCTTTTGAAGCAGTTTTTACTCTAGGATCTGTAGCATCCTTCCAAAGGTCCTGAAGATCTTGTACGTGTCCATGAGATGTCATCATTTTCTCATAGATGCAGGGATGATAAGGAGCTTTCCCTTCCCCAGAAAAAAACACATGGTATTGTGGTACTATCCCCATTTTATTGGCACAGAGGCCCATGAACACATCGTCTATGTAGAGACTGGAGTTCAGTGTCTGAGATGCCTCATAGACCTTGGCGGCCACATCACCAGAGATGATGTAGGCAGCACCAGCAGTATAGTCAGGGTAAGCTGGCCATTGGTACATGTCATAGGAGACATAGTATTTGCTGCTTTTATCTCTAATGGGAGGGGCTCCACGATGAACACGGCCAATCCAAAAGTCTTGGACACCAATTTGTTCTAAACTTTGAAGGTATTCAATAAGATTTGGCATGTGAATAAATATGTCATCATCAGCAGTCATCAGGAATTTCGCATGTGGACAAAAGGTATTTGCCCAACTGAACTGCAAAAGCAATTTAAGAGTAAGGTTGTAGAAAGAATCAACAAAGTCTTGCTGAATGATATCATTGTATATTTGATCTTCCCAAACCAGTTTTTTTTGTAGTTCTTCTCCCTTCAGGGGATTAGGAGTTCCTAAGGCAAACAGAGTTTTGATGTTGGCATTAAGTTGAGACCGAACATACTCCTCACTGCCCCACGTTCTTCTAATCGCAGATCGGCGATAGTAGTTCTCAGGAGCAGTCTTTATAAACAGCAAAAGGAGGACCTCTTGAGCTTGACATTTCTCCTTGTGGTTAATCAAGTATGGGTAGCGAGCCCCCTCTGAGCTGTGCTTAAGAGACAGGGTATCATTCACAAAGTCATAGCTATTTATGAGGTATCTGTAAGAGTAGGACTTCATATGGCTCACGATGTGATTATCAATGTGTCCCCAAAAAAACATGAGGCTTAGTATAAAACAAGTGGCAAATAATTGAATAAACTGACATTTTTTTACTCTTCTGCCACTAACAAACATTCTCATGTCCACTCAGGTCTGTTTTTATTTGGGATCAGTTTCAAATGGGTGCTTGCTGCTTTGACACCATAGAACTTGGTATTTTGTTGAATTAATGTCCATCTTAATACATGTTAGTCATTAAAAATAGAAAAGGATCTTCTATTTCACACAATAGTGTGAAATAATACCATTTTTTCTAAGATTGCAAAAGAATGAAATACACTATCGAGTGAGGACACTGTAACATCAAAATTCTTCCACGTTGGCATCCTTCATTAAGTCTGGTGGGTGGCCTCATGAACAGCTAGCTCATATACTTCTTTCAGTGAACATGAACTTTGACCTATCAGAATCAAAAAGACAAAAGAATAACAAGTGAATGGGTTACTGAGTACAAAAATAGACATGCTACTCATAATTCCTTAAAACCAAATGTAACCTGACTCACAAAGCAGTTAGTATTTAGCAGAGGCACACAGCTGTTTATTTTTTTAGAGGAATATAAAGAAAAAAAAAAGCAGAAAAACTGCTTGATCCTATCTTCCCATTCAAAATATAGACATTCCTTTCCTCTTCTCACTGTTTTTGCTTTGTATTTTGGGCAGTGGCGGGGATGAAACGCAGGGCTTTGTGCCTGCTAGACAAGCACTCTACACTGAGCCACATACCCACAACCCTCAGGGAAAAAAAAAAAAAAAAAAGCACCTCCAAAATGGTGACCAACATATATACTAAAGTTCAACGAGTATATCTGTGAAAATACTAACTTGAATATAATCACAATGAAAGTAGTTACACAGATGAAAATAAAGTATATAGCAACAAAGATCTATTAACACTTGATCCAGAAAAGGCAGGAGTAAGAGTTGTTTTTTTATTTGTTTGTTTTTTATAAATCAAGGTTCAAAAACAAAGAGTCAAGATTTGCTTTATAGTTTAAATGTTCTCCTTTCCAAAACTCAGACTTAACCATGAGATCAGCTGAGCTCTTCAAACCCCTTCAGAGTCTGCCCATGACGTATAAGATTCAGTTTAAGTCATGGCTTTGCAGGGCACCCAGGACCCTTCAGGCTCTGCCTTCCCAGCTATTCTGTCACACAGCAAACCACTGGCTGAAACCTCAGCCACCTGGCATTTGCATATGCTCTGCCCTTTGCACTGGTAGTGCTGGGACCTGGCACGTCCCACCTCCCTGCAAGTATGAAGTATGCTCACCTCAAGTCCTATAGGTATTTGTCTCCAGAAGCCTGAATTGGGCCCCCCCCCACTCATTCAAAGATGTTCCAGTGAGCACCTTCTGACCTACTGTGTTATGATTTTTCAAGCACCGTGGTGTAGAACTTCTACTACCCTCAGCATCCAGTAGGCATTTACCAAATATGGGTGCCAAGAATCATGCTGGAGTGTCAAAGTACTGATTATTCAGGAAAACTCAGAGTCAAGACCAGCTAGGTGCCACCTCAGATGAGGTCCATGCCATACTGCCCTTTTCTTCCACTACTAGGAAACAGGACCCTCCTTCCTCAAGAATTCTGTCCCCACTGCTTGCCACAAATAAATACCTCCTTGCCTAGAAAAGTCAACTTTCTCAATCATGGTGACACAACTGTCTCCTGGGCTTTGGCCAGGATTGGAAGGGAAAAGGCAATGCAGGTGGGGTCATCGTGAATCCACATCACAAGTCCCAGGACGAAGGCTGTGCTTTGTGCCCTGAGACCTTTCCACACGTCCCCTCACCCCCACCCTTGGCCTTGAATGTAAAAGTAATTGCACATACTGAGCACTCTGCCAAATGGAACCAGTTCTGGCTATGGTATCTCCATCCAGACCGCTGGGCTTTTAGATTCTGATATATTTCCCATCCCCCATGATCACTCCTCTTCAGGCTGATAACTGCAAAGGCTGGGCATGCAGAAGTTTCAAAAAGGACAGGAGATTAGAGCAAGCCCAACTGAGACTTTGTCCAGAGCTAATCAGCATAGGTAGCACTTTATCTTCTATGGCATGAATTTTACACCTGCAAGCACTACCTAGGGAGCCACAACCAGCATTTAAAAAAAAGAAAAACCAGAACAACAGTGTGGACTCATGTGGTAAAACTGAGGTCTTTGTGTGCATAATCCAGGGATGTGATGTCAAATGCGTTAGTATGCGCTTGACTACCAGAAAGGCAGAAACCCTGTTCTAAGGAACAGCTTGATAAGAGCAGCATTCCCCTTGGATAGGCTCACTGTCTGGATCCGATATTCTAGAGTAGGGTGAAAGAGACAGCAGGAAGCATCAGTTCCTGATGGCAGCATCCACCAAAACTGCAAAATCACTTTGATTCAGCTGCCAGTTCTTCTCAATCTTTCCACTGCTCTCACTCAAAGACTACCCTCTGGAGGCCAAAAAGAAGGTCCTTCCACCTCTACAATACATCTTGAAGGACCTGAAGGTTTAAAGCAAGGTAACAGAGAATTCTTGATGGCAGGGTCTAAGACAGCATCAGTGTTTAAGAATTCAAAGAAAACTGTCAATTGAAACCAATCTGCAGTCCCTACTCCAAAGGCTCCTGGCAAAGGCTTAATGAGGTGGACATAACCTTTGAAATCCAACAGAATGCATGCAAAACCAGCTTCCCATCTCTGAACTTGTTCTGTACATGTTCACCACTATTTACAAGCCTGCACTTCTTACTAGACTTAACAGCCTGCAACTCCACTTCCCAGCATACAGACACACCTGACTCACAAGGGCGCTAGAACCCCTCAGGAGCCAGGGCTGTGACTCAGCAGGCTGGTACGCTGCTGCTGCTGCTGCTGCTGCTGCTGCTGCTGCTACTATAAGCTGGCAGCTCGCCCATAATGTTCATTCTATTCCCCCCTATTTTTCCAATGATTCTAAATAGGCCTCAGTGTGTCCAAATATTTCTGAAAAATGACCGAGAACTTGTCACAAAGCCAACAACCCACATTCCTTATTTAGTTCAGTACAGCAAGTGAAATTCCAAAATGAGATTTCTCCCACTCAGCCACTTCAACTGCTTAGCCACTATTTACACACATTACAACCGAATAATATGGGTACAGTAGGGGGAAGATTTAGGGAAGGTAAACTACTCATTTATATTACACAGCCTCGCTCTGACAACAAAAAATAGCTTGCACTCACTCTTCTGGTTTCTCAGAGCATCCTAACACTGCTTGAAATCACATGCTGTACCCTCATATTCAGGGTGCGGGGAGGGGACTGGGGAAGCCCAATCGAGCTAGCTGATGTGGTGGAAGAAAACACTGGGCCTTACAGGACATAAAGCAATAACAAATGCGAAGCTCAGCAACCACCCAGAATATTCTGCTGTGGATGCAGCTTCCTTTGTATGCTTGTAGCACGGCTCAGTGGCCAATCAACAGACTGGAAACTCAAGGGTCACCTCTGTTTGGGACCAGATTTATTGTGTAACCTCTGGCTTCACCTTATTGCATTTGGTAATTTCATCTGCACATCAGAGGTGAATATCAATGTAATGTTACTGAAGGGAAGTAAAAATTATAGATGACTCCAGGGTCTACTAAAAAATATGACACAGAGCATTATAGAGAAGAGGACAAAGAATTGCTGAGAGGAAATATGCAGATATTCAGAATATAACTTGGTTTTCTTCTATTTAGACTGGGAGAATGGAACTGCTAACCTTAGTATTCTCTTTTGTAATACAAGTAGTCAGAAAAGTAAAGAATAGAAGAGGGATATCAGAAAAGGTGACAAACCCAACTCAAATACTTCACAACTGGGAGACATGCCCCTCAGTTACTCAACAATGTATTTCTTCACAAGAGTTCTTTAAACTTCTCTGGAAAAAACTAGGGTTAGTGTGCTAGAGGCTATTCACTTCCCTAAAATATCCCGTGAGGTTTCTCTACTTCATACCAGCTGTCAACTCATTTCCTTGTGGTGTCGGCTTTTGTGATCCTGGAAAGTTATGCAAAACTTGCTAGAAATTTCAAAGTTTTAATCAAGATGGTGAGATCTGTATTTTAAATTCAAGTTAACCTCAACTTTTGATGTTTGAATTAATCATACAAGGATGTGAGTATTTGCTATGTGAGTCAAGCATGGTAAAAGATCATAAAGTAGTATTTTATGGTTTCCAATCTCAAAGCATTTATAATCAATGTGAGATAAGACTCACTATCTCCACATAAAAACTTGGTTCCCATGGCCAACACTGGTAAGGTGCAAACAGCATGGCAGAGATCATTCAGGTGATACCAACTCCAGGCACACAACAGAGGAGTCGCTGATCCACGAGGATTAGTCAGAGGATTTCAGGAGGGCCTGAGGAGGACCAACATTGAGGTGGCTGAAGGACAAGGAGCAGTCTTTGTTTCAGGAGAGAAAGGAAAGAATTGCCTTGGGCAAATATTTGTGAAATGGGAATATATTTGAAAGCAGGGAGGTAGGTACCTGTTTATGGAGGTATGAAAATCAGGTCTTAGATTGTAGAGAGAGCAGAAGGAAGTCACAGAAGTTTCTGTTTGTGTTTGTGATGATCATTCTCTTTTTTGATACTTATTAAGTTTGAGCAAAAGGGGTTAAAGGCAGAGAGGTATTGCAGGATAGAGAGCAGTACCTGAAGATCAGGACAAGTGGGCCTCCAGTTGATGGAGTTCAGGGTGGTGAAAGTGAGGAGGGAAGGAAGGTGTATTCAACCATTTTCTGTTGCTATAACAAAATACTTGGATCTGGTGTCTTACGAAGAAAAGAAGTTTATTTAGCTCACAGTTTTGGAAGCCAAAAATCCAAGATCAAGCATCCCCATCTGTTTAGCTTCTGATGAGGCTCCTTTAATTGTATCACAAGGTGTAGAGAAAAGGGAAGGTAAATGGCTATACACAAAAGGGTCCTAGAGGGCTGGGGATGTGGCTCAAGCGGTAGCGTGCTTGCCTGGCATGCGTGCGGCCCGGGTTCGATCCTCAGCACCACATACAAACAAAGATGTTGTGTCCGCCGAAAACTAAAAATAAATAAATATATTAAAAAAAAAAAGGGTCCTAGAACATGAATGACTTTAC